AGCAATTAAAATTAATTGCAACAACTTGAGCGAATAAAAAAATTGGGTCTGGAATTGCCTTATTTTCTTCAAATCTATGATATACTTGGATAACTTTTTTTATTCGTAGTTTTTTTAATGTAATTTATAAAATTAGAACTTAGAAAGTAAATTTTTTTCAAATGGTTCTTAAATCAAATATTTCACGATCATTTGTACCTTCATAAATAATAAAGACAAAAAGTGAAAAACAAGTTAAAGTAACACGCAAAATGTTTAACATTTCAAATATAAAAAGGTAATATTGTTAACAGAAAAATTTTGTTTGGATAAAGATCAAAATACTAAATGTTCTTAAAATTTTAGATAGTTACTAAAAATAAATTTACCTTTAAGAGAAGAATTCAAAGGTATTAAAATTAAGCTAATTTAATATTTAATAACAAATAATTTTATATTTTATTTGTATATTTCTGTTTCAAAGAGTTATATAAACATTTTAAATATACTTAAATTTTAATTAAACACACCCCAATTTAAAATACAGTGATCATGTTTAATTTTTTTACGATTTGTTTTAATTAGGTTAATATTTGTAATAAGTGAGTTATAATATTGTTCAGTTTATTCCATAGAATGATAAGTATACTTGTAAATATGCTTCTCCTTAAAATTTAAACTTTAAGGGCAGTAGGAAACCTCTATACCGACAATATTAAATTGGCCGTTTTCGATGTACCTTTTCTCAAAATCTATTACATGTACATGTTTGAAATTTTTCACACAATTAAAGTACACCTTTCTCATTATACTGAAATGAGCTTTTAGCAAATTTTTAATTTTTTCATAATTTATAAAATATTTTATCAAACATAGTGAAATTTGACCCATTATTCCCATAAAAAAAAATTTGTAAAAAATAAATTTTTGAGTTTTTTACAAAAAACTCATTTCTGTATATATTAGCCAGCATTATAAGTATATCATACAAAACTTACATACCTGTGAACTGCAATTTTTCAGAAGAGGTACATCGAACATCAAAATTTACATTTTGAGATAAATTGGATTTTAATGTATACAGTAATACTTCTATAATCAGCTTGGAAATAAAAAATAAAAGGCTCAGTTTACAATAAAAGATACATGTTTTGGTTTATATCAGGCGTTCACAAATTTTAAGTAAAAATAAGTACTTTGTTTACATTTTTTGCCATTCAAATAAGCGTAGCCCAGTTTCAACGATTATTTAAAAATAGGTTTAAAAGGCTTCTAATTTCTCCAAAGGTTAAAGAAAATAGTTTTAGAAAGGTTAAAATCTATACAATTTGAAAATGTAAAAATCTCAAATTGTTAAAAAAAAATAAGATTTTAGCTTTCTAACACCTCTTAATGAAGTGTAAAACTATTGTTACATAATCCTCTTAACAAACAAAAGTTGTATCAAACTTCAATACTCGATAATACTTTATTCATACTAGTGAATATGCATATGGAACACACGAATAGATCATGCTTACAAAAACGTTATTTATTATTTATAATATTCAAAAAAACAGCACAAAAAAATAAAATCTTTAAATCTTCATCGCTTCTTTTTCCCTTCCACCAAATCCATATCTCAGGCTCAAAACTTGGGTGTTTATCTTTATTTATCGAGTTTAGGGCTCAAAAACTGGAAGTTCATGTCATCTTTGCCCCGATTTTTCAACGGAACTATATTTCTACACGACCGCCGAATCTCTACTGCACCGCGGCGCATGAAGCAAATGCGCTTCGACGTTCGGTTCTTTTTATAAACGACGCTGCAGCCAAGTCACAGGCGTGACATTCGACTTGGAGTGGTGATCAATCTCGCCTTTTCTTCCTCCTTATATTTCTTCTTTTTTTTNTTTTCTTCTTTTCTTCTTTCTTTCTCTTCTATGGTATTTATTTCTATTTTTTTATCCATCTCTTTCGAATGCAACCTGTAGAGGGATCGAGGAAGAAGAGAAAAAAAAAATGGAACACAGAGAAAAAAAGAACGAAAAAAAAATTACCAATGGAACTTATTGATCATTGGGTTGTACTTGGGCCTTCTGCCAGAAGTCTTCAACGGGCGGAGGGTTTTCCTGATGACTTCTCGCTTCCGTGGCTCAAATTGACTAACGGTTCAGTCTCTGCCCCCCTCCCCACGGTCCGGTCCTGGTGTATTGGTATTGCATTACCGAGACTAGGACGGAAGCATTAACGTTATTATGTAAGCCCACTACTTCCACGATGTTCTGTTACAAGTCAAGGGAAAAGTGTTCGGGCAACAGCAGCTAGTTGCTGATTTTCGACCACTTACGCCGGAGTTACGAGACAAGCAAAAAGAAAATGCTATTTGCTTTTGCGCTCTATCTTCCTGGATGGAAGTATTCGTCATTATATTGATTGGAATTTCGGAACAATCACAAGATGAAGGATTCTTTATTAAGCCGCAGATGGCGGTAATGCATGGGGCAGTTTGAAAGTCGATCATTTATGAATTTAACTTCATTTATTATTTTCGATTTTGGAGGGAAGGATTTCAGATGAAAATTTTAATTCTCTTTTGGCAACACACGCCTTATTCTATCATCGTTTTTGGATTTCTTAAAATTATCTTCACTTGTTTTCAACTGTATTTATGATTAGAGAATTACCATAGTTAAAATTAATGATATTTAAACTAATTCAAATTTAAATTATTATTCTGATCAAAGCAATAAAATGAAATTATTTTTCTTTTTTGTCAATTATTGAGGCACTCGTTTTAATAGTAAATTTATGAAAATGAAAATATATATGTATTTATGTGTTTAATATTATCTTAATCTTAATCCTTAATAATTTAATCATGAATATATTTATAATAATTGATTTAACGATGGACCATTTAGATTTAACTGTAGTAATTTGCTGCTTTAAATATATAATGACTAATGAAAATTTTAATTAAGTTACTATTATAAATTTTTGAAAAGATAAAAAATATACTTAAGTACAAAAGTTGATACATTTTTCCTGTTTATTTTTCATGTACATTAGCTTACCCTATTATCAATATTGTTACATTTTTTTTTAATCTCTAACTATGCTAATGAGAGAAATACTCTTATGTTGGCATTGTTTGTCGTACGATATTTAATGAAAAATTTAAAATTAGTACTTAACTTAATATTTAATCGAAATTTGTTATTTTATTTTATATATATATATATATATATATATATATATATATATTGAATGGCAAAAAAATGTATTCATAAAAAACGAAACACATTTTTAGAATAATCAACTTTTTTAATTTATCAATAATCGGAACTATAATAATTCAATTTTTCGAAATAATAATTTAGCTTATTTATTGGCGTAATATGTCTACCTATAGTAAGAGTTTAATATAATCAAAAGCGGAAAAGTACACGATAAATTGTGCATTCAAAATTTGTTTTTTTTTTATTTCATTTACATTTTAATCAACTCACTGGTGCTCACTTTTTTATTATGCGATAAGTAATATTCAAATAAACAAGTATCACACTTTACTTTATTTAGGTTAAAATATCTATGAAACAACCAAAGCATAATTCTTAACCTCAGAACTGTAAATACATTTTTACTCTAAGTTTTTAAATTTCTATCATTATTCCATCGCTTTAGTTTTCGGAACCCTAAATATAATGTTTAACACACAGCGAAATAAAAGTACTATCGTATATCCCTACTATAGAAACCTTTTTTTCCACAAATTAATAACAATTTATTGACAAATAAATAAATAAATATATAAATATTGCTTCCAAATATATTTGGAAATCTCATAAAGCACATTATTCTAAAGGTAAAGTTTGTAGATTGTCCATTTATCCTCCAATCTTTGAACACATATAGAAACTCAATCAATATTATTTTATTTATTCCTTGTATTGAAGCGCTTTCTTACCTCACTGAATCCCAAACAACAAAGCAAAATGAACAAATTAAAAAAAAAAAAAAAAGCAGCTTAGAATTTTGAAAATCAAATTGTGCTGATTACCAACTATTTCTTCCACCTAATCCTTAACACGATATCCCAGAAACCACTAAACCCATCTAATGGACAATTTCCTTCGATATCTCCCAGAGAAACTTAGACCCCTTTCTCTCCCACATTCGCAAAGGATCTAACAAAAGAGATCCCAGTCTGGCCAAACTACCCAACAAAGTCCGTGATAAACAGCTTCGTAGTTCTTCCCCAAGTCTGAACAGTTCACTAATGACCAAATGCAGGGAGGAAGCGAACGGGTTTGATGGACCTTCGAAGATTCAGGCCGACCCTCCGATTGGATTCGATCCTGCCTCAACTTGTTGATCGTTAGACACCAAGGACTGATGGAGAGAGCTGGTTTTAGTTCTTAGGGCATTGGGGTGATTTGTTCCCCCGAGCTAACCTAATGACGCGGCCCAGAAAATGGTCTTTTTTTTCGTTGTGTTGTGTTTTGTTGTTGTTGATGTTCCTTCCGCCTGCTACTTGCTAAGAGTTTTGGAAAATATAGCCTCTTCTGCTCAGTAAGAGAAACTTTGCAGAAATAGATGTTTGTATGGATTTTGTTGTTGTTTTTTTTTTTGGTGATATATATGTAAGTGAAACATTTTTATGTAATAGAGCAGTTGTGTATGAATTAATAGTGTCAAATATACATAAAAACAAGTAATATAAAAAAAATTAAGTCAATTACTACTTAGGTCAACACAGAAAATTTTTATTTTAGTTGCTTTTTTATTAAATAATTATATTATATAAATAATTACATTAATTTTATTACATAATTACATTATATATATATATATATATATATATATATATATATATAGCGGAGTCACAATATTAAGTGACGAAACAGAAAGCGATTATCCTTTGTATATATGGTGTTGGGCTATTATTTTTGTGTTACTATTTATTCATTAATTAAATTTAATTATTCTAATAAAATAGTATAGTAAAAAGAAATCACATTGTCAGAAATTAGGTGGGATTCTCCCAGTTGGGATTTGAACCCACAACCTTTGGATTAGAAGTCCAACGCGCTACCCATTGTGGCACGGGGACACAACGAGAAATTTTCCTTTTTAATATATGGTATTGGACTATTATTTTTGTTTGTCACTAGTTATTCATTGATGAATGAATTAATATTTGAAAAAACTGTATTAACATCAAGTGTCACCCACTACAAGTTTAAAAAAATGTATTTGAACTTAAATGGAAGAATAGAAGTTATTTTATTAACGATGTAAAATTTGAACAAGATATATATGTAGGGAAAGTGTGAACTAATAGTAAGAATTGAATAAGCATATAAATGATAAATAATGACTAATGGTAATTAGACATGTACAAACAAATGGTAAATAATGATTTATTGAATTAACTATTTAATATTAAATAAGGGTATAAGTATAAAATTATGCTTAGTGGATATATTTCTTAATAAACTAATATATAACTGAATCAGTGCTTCTCAAACTTTCAATATTTACGACCCAATTTTCAATCATAAATTTCCTCTTCCATGCAATAATAATGTATTGAACTTTATTATTGTATGGAAGTCTACAATACGATTTTAAGTATAAACCGTACAAATTATCAAAGATAAGTATAAAATCTTGTATGTAATATTATATATGACACACAATACCATAGAGTCCCTGTTAATTGTTTAACTTGTTCTAAACTTAGTATTGTTTAATTATTTATCAAATACTTTGTGCAGTTCTGATACATTTATAAGAGCATTATATCAGTGTAAAAGTGTCATTTGTTTTTTATTCTGTTAGAACGTATTTTGCTTTGCTTCCTTTCAATAAATGAATAATTTTTTTTAAAATAATATCTTGTTTTCGACTTTTCAATATGCTCGCGTCCCCCACCTAGCATTACCTTTCCCTCCAGAAGGCACGCCCCACAGTTTGAGAAACACTGAACTAAATTAATAATTGTTTACGCAAATGAAGATTACAAAATAATAAATTTATACAGGAACCAGGGATTTTTAATTAGTAATTACAATTACCTTAAATTTATATGTTTGTATAAGCATATTTCATATATGTAAATTTAAGTTTGCTCTTAGAGTAAAATAGTTACAATGATAAGAAGCTACTTTTGACAAAAATACTAATTTTGAAAATTTTCGCTACATTTTTAAGCAAATGAATCTGTTATATAAAATACAATACATTCATTTTACTGTATTTTCCTTTGCGGAAAACAGGTATATTTTTGAATAATATTTTATCACCCTCGATTTTTTTTTTTTGCTTTGTTTATTTAGTTGCTAGATTTAAGACTTGGATACTTGAGTATTACGAATTTAAATGGAATCTGAAAACACAACTACATAAAAATTACACAAAGGACTTATTTTGTTGACTGTATCTAAAGTCTCAATATTTTGAAGATTAGGTGAAGAAACTAAAATAATCATATGCAAATCAATGTCTTGTTTTGGTTATCTAAGTATAGTTGAAAATACATAGATATATTCCTCGATAGTAAAATATTACGCACAATTCTAGTCCTTTAAAATGAAAATTAAAATGAGTTAAGTTTGTCTCATAAAAATATTAATTAATACTTATTTCATAAATCATAATATTTTAAATAAAAGCTATATAAAATAGTAACTGACATTCCGCTTGAATATTTATTTTCTGTTTGATACAGAAAACCCATTTTTTAAAAAAATGTAGCATCCTCCCCCCCCCCCCGTTTTAGTTTTTCGAGAACAAATGGCCTTTGTAATCAATATTTTTTTACGAATTATGTTATTTTACATTTGTTTACTTTAAGTTAACTTAAGTTATTCTTCCTCAGATTATTTAATTCCCCCCTCTTGATTTCCTATCCATATTAAGGGAATTAAATAAGTTCACATTTTTTAATTATTTTATTTGGTAGGTTTTCTAAAAGTATTGTCTTACTTTCGAAATG